GATAAGAAATACTAATGATAGCTAGTTAACTTAAAATTAACTTACGATAATATGAAAGATGCCAGTGAACATATACAATTTGGGATATATCAGTAATGGTAGGAGCTGAATATTTCATACGAAAAATCAGTCCAAAACTTTCATGAGATATGCTCTCTTATGGGGAAACCCCTCAAGGAAGGTTCCTTGATGTTGGTGAGGGGCTCTTGATTTAGGGAATTGGATCTGTGCTCCAGTTCCCCCAATTAAGCCTGAATGCCTTCCACATTCCCCCCCCCCCCAGGCGCTGTATAATCCTCTGGGTTTAGCGCTTCCCCCTTGATTATAATAATAATAATAATCTTATGGGGAAAAAGGTCCCTTCATGCTCGTAAAGGGCTCTTGAAGCATGGAACTGAAGCTACTCTTCCCTTCCTTGGTTCCGTTATGATTGTGGAAAATACTGTATATATTTTCCAGAAATTCAGTATTTATATGTAAATAGACTGTATTTAATAATATTTATGTCATAGAAAACGGAAAGCCTGCGTCTGAGCAGATGGGACTCGCCATCTTGGTTTTGAATTGAACAGAACGTTAGAGTGAATGGGAAGAATTTTTGGTGCTCTAGAGGTTAAAATTGGGCTGACACCTCTCAAATAGGAGGCGAAATTGTTGGATGTGCATTCCTGCATAATTTGAGTATCAGGCGACTGGACAACACAGCTCCAGGAACCTCAGATAAGTCTGTTTATATTTAATTCTGGCCAGTAATTTCATAAATTTAGACAGTGAGGTTTTCTGGGTATAATACACATTAATCTCCAGTCAAATTGGTGAGTGATGTTAAGATATATTTTCCTTCTGTTATGTAATTGTGTGTGTATATATATATATATATATATATATATATATATATATATATATATATATATATATATATATATTAATATATACAGTCCACAATATACAGTCCACAAATTTATATATTTACCAACATTCCTGGTGTATGTAGATTTCATTTAATAATAGGTCCAGAGCAACTTGTGGATATGACAGTGGTAGGTATCGAAGGGGGACATTTTTTGCGACTTAGGTGTCCCATATTCCTACATGTCTAACTGATAAAAAATAATTATCTTTGTTCATTTACTGTTATGTATATAATGATACATTCAGCTAAATGCAATTTTCCACAATGATAATCATCATTCTCCAGACACTGTATCAGCACTACGAAACTGGTACTTCCCTGTCAATATACTAATAATAATTTAAGAGTTTCTTTACATAAACTTTAGCAGGAAGACTCGAGCAAAGTAAAGAATCTTTTGCTATATGCCACTGCATACATAATTGTAAATAATTAAGGGATGAAGATTACTGCTGTCTATTATTATTTGGCAGATATAAAATAGGGGTTGTACTTGCCAGAACATATGAAATAGTGTGCGTCTGCAAATATCGCCCTTAAAACATTAGTTATCCATCGCATTATTTTAAATTTCCATTTTCTTTGATTATTGCTATTTCGTGTTTTAGTTTATTATGTTTCAGGTGAGGGGCTCTTGATTTAAGGAATTGGATCTGTGCTCCAGTTCCCCGAATTAAGCCTGAATGCCTTCCACATCCCCCCTCCCCTGGGCGCTGTATAATCCTACGGGTTTAGCGCTTCCCCCTTGATTATAATAATAATAATAATATTATGTTTCAGGTTTTTTATGTATAAAGCCTATTGATTGCAATTCAGTTTTTAAATTAATAAATTAACAAGGAAAATGGTTATAAGTAAAACCACAATTTTTAAATATTAACTTTAGTAAAAGAAATGAGAAAATACTAATTAGATTGTCTTTAGCTTAACGAGATGCAACGTTATGCAGCTGCTGTTATTGTCTGATCACGTGAGGGGACTGTTGTTGTCCCAGTACTAACTGAAGAATCAGTAACGTGAACTGATTTTTTTTATATTCCCTGAAAAATATTACTATAAGCTGTATTATGATTACACTGCCGAATTATGCCACCGATACACAAGAAGCAGCTGAAAAATTACCTTACTGAAGACACTAGTGGCTAGAGGTTTATATGAATGACAGGATTAAGATTTTTATTCGGGCTATTCAGTTAATTATATCGTCCCAGTTGAAATATAAACACTTTAGCAGTATAATGTGATCCTTTACTGAAAACGTCAAACACAGATCTACCTGGGTTAACGAACGAAAGAACAAGTTCAGGTAAAATCCCAAATGGGATGAGCGGGGAATACGGGACAGACGAAGATTAGCTCTGGAGAGGAGTGTTCTTAGTCGTAGAAATAGAGCCAGGGCTTAATCCAGCAGCTAAGGCGATCGTGGGACAGACATTGATAACAGAACTTCAGGCTCTTCTGTTGGGACTCCGGTGGGGTGAGCGGGGAGGACGGGACAGGCGAAGATTAGCGCTAGAGAGTAGTGTAGAATGAGCCATGTCTTAACCCAAAAGCTAAGGCGAACGTGGGGCAGAGAATGAACAGCGCAAGGTACCTGACAGAGAATCCAATGTTATTTGTAAATATGGTTAGGAGCAGGATCATACAAGGAGTAGAAAAGGTTATGTTGGTTTGTGGGTCTGCGAATGTCGATCTTGCCTCTCTCGAATTACCCCGTGTTGGGAGAGACTTCGCTTAGAGTGGTGCTTGCTGGACCTTCGTCTTCCTCTTCATCATCAGGATTGGTGCGTCGGTGGTTGCCTAAGGGCAGGAAGCCTTTTGCTGCCTGAAGTCTCTATGTCTGTCGACTGCACGCCGTACAGCCAGTCTTGCCGCCGCTCAGGTTATACAGTGCTCCATCAAGCTACAGTTCACCTCCTCAGTGTCCTGAGCCAGGCAAGTACGTGTGTCTACTTACACGTACTTGCCTAGCTGAGTAATCTCACTTTTTAGCCGATTGTCACCGCCACAACTGTTCATTCATTTTTACGTAACTAGATGATGCCTTCCTGGAGGTTACCTGGAGGTTATTCCGGGGATCAACGCCCCCGCGGCCCGGTCCATGACCAGGCCTCCCGATGGATCAGGGCCTGATCAACTAGGCTGTTACTGCTGGCCGCACGCAGTCCAACGTACGAGCCACAGCCCGGCTGATCCGGCACTGCCTTTAGGTATCTGTCCAGCTCTTTCTTGAAGGCAGCCAGGGGTTTATTGGCAATTCCCCTAATGCTTGATGGGAGGCTGTTGAACAGTCTTGGGCCCCGGACACTTATGGTGTTTTCCCTTAGTGTACCAATGGAGCCCCTACTTTTTATTGGGGGCATTTTGCATCGCCTGCCCAGTCTTTTACTTTCGTAGGGAGTGATTTCTGTGTGCAGATTTGGGACCATTCCTTCCAGGATTTTCCAAGTGTAGATTATGATATATCTCTCCCTCCTGCGTTCCAACGAGTACAAGTAAAATGCTTCCAAGAGTTCCCAGTAGTTAAGGTGCTTGACAGAACTTATACGTGCAGTAAAGGATCTCTCTACACTCTCTAGATCTGCGATTTCATCTGCTTTGAATGGAGATGTTAATGTACAACAGTATTCCAGCCTAGAGAGAACAAGTGATTTGAAAAGGATCATCATTGGCTTGGCATCTCTCGTTTTGAACGTTCTCATTATCCATCCTATCATTTTCTTTGCACGTGCGATCGTGGCACTGTTGTGATCCTTGAAAATGAGATCCTCAGACATTACTACTCCCAGGTCCCTTACAGTATTTTTCCGCTCTATTGTATGGCCAGAGTCTGTAGTATACACTGTTCTAGTTATTATCTCCTCCAGTTTTCCATAACGGAGTAGTTGGAATTTGTCCTCATTGAACATCATATTGTTTACCGTTGCCCACTGGAAAACTTTGTTTATATCTTCTTGGAGGTTAACCACGTCCTCAGCAGATGACAGCCTCATGCAGATCCTAGTATCATCCGCAATGGATGATACGGTGCTGTGATGTATATCTCTGTCTATGTCTGATATGAGGATGAGGAATAAGATGGGGGCGAGTACTGTGCCTTGTGGAACAGAGATCTTCACTATGGCAGCCTCCGATTTAACTCTGTTGACCACTACTCTTTGTGTTCGATTTGTTAGGAAGTTGAAGATCCATCTCCCCACTGTCCCAGTTATTCCTTTAGCACGTATTTTATGGGCTATTACGCCATGATCGCATCTGTCAAATGCTTTTGCAAAATCTGTGTATATTACATCTGCATTCTGATTTTCTTCCAGTGCATCCAAGGCACCACCCCCCACCCCCGTTCCACTCTCCCTCTACCGTCCACACCTGCCTCTGCCTCTTCTAAATCCAATTCCTTCTCACTAAACCTTAAATTCTCTAATCCTGATGCCACTATATGTCCTGAAAATTTATTATATCACATCACTGGTGCACCTCAACTTCAAGTCTTTAAAACCAACTCAAGCGATCTTAATACTTGGGAATTCTTCGTTTGCCTAACCCTTGAGCACGACCTACTTCCACATTGGACAAATGTGACATCACCTACGACTGCTGCACCTCTCCTGCCTACGGTTTATAAGCTGCTTCTCCGCCGTATTCTATTCAAGTTTGATAGACTGACCACATCGACTCAAGGTCGAGGGATTGATTACCTCATTCTCCTCCTGTTCTTCAAGTTTCTCCTATGTATGGACTGATGAAGCCACTGTGTGGCGAAACCTTTCCTCAATAAAGTTACCCAAGAGTTGCACATGTGTCTAATTTATCAACGTGTTGGTTCTCTGAACCATTCATCTGCACTTCTTGATATAAATCCCGGCAATCTATTTGCCTTATTACGCACGGTTAGGCACTG